ATAATCAGCTGTTCTAAACTTCCTCAATGGAAGTCACGAAAAAAGCGGCTCCGAAGAAAGCGATACTACCGAAACGTCAGTTAGTGTTGTATTGTATTGTGTTCCTCTATGGAAGTAAATGTATGCTGTTTAAAAACCTCGCGATTGCTGAACAAGAAAACGACGCATTCATATTCCAATGCCGAGGTTAATAGAAAGTCGATCCTGGGAACTACAAAATTTTTTTTCAGTTTGCTTCGGGCCTTCACCAGGCTGAAGATGGCTCTATTTTTCTTGACCTATCTGATATGGAGTTTTTAAATGATCGCAATCGACAGCTGCACTATCTGATCAACAAGCCACGTCTAGTGTGAGCTTTAGTTGTTTGTTGTTATACGAATAGTTACTCACTCCTTTAAAGTAGTTTCCGATTTCCGACTTTTCATCTCTAACTACCGATTAATTCGTCATCTTGTGAAGTTATAAGGTGCGTGTATAGTGCAGAGGTCGCAAGTACTCTGCAAAACATATGGAGCCGATTCCCGCGCTGTAGGTTCATCAAGCCCTCGATTCCTCCGGGGTCGGCAAATTGGTACCAGACTTGTCTGGGAGGATATCAGTACTCCCTCGATACTTCAGTAGGCCACCGCGAGTTATTGTATAAGGCAAGTGTGCATTCATTCACCTCCAATAATGCTTAATGAAGTCGAATGCATGGCGCATCCTTCAGGAATCGATCAACGCTGAGTGCTTTATTCTTTTATCCTTTATCCATGTCGAATAAGCATATGGACTTTTTTATGTGGCATTGGAGGACATGTTTCTTTTTCTTTTAAGTTGTTATATTGATGGTCTGTCATGTTTAGCGAGAATTTGGCTTGTTTGAATAGTCGGGTGCCGATGTTCCCACCGATGACAACATCACGAGGCAGCTTCGTGTTTTTTATTGACGGTGGAGAAGTGAGTACTTTATGTTAAGTCTTTTAAGAATAATTAAAAGAACAAACACAAATGGTATCGTTTTCTTAGGTGGACATCCGAAATCTGACTTGTGATGCTTTATCGCCATGGTCAGAGAGTATGCAAATGAGCGACGGTGGGTTTTCTTCTTGCACTATACGGACAGAAAAGGTGTGCAATTTGGAAAGTTATAAGGGAGGAAGAGCGTGATGGAAATAAGAAGCAAAAGTTGAACTAGTTTATTTTAGCTCAAGAAACGCAATTCCAATGCTTAAAATGACATAGAATTCTGGTACTAGTCTTAACCCTTTTATTTACTGCCTTTTTGTTCTTAATGGCAGGGTATGTTGCGAAATATAACTCATATGTAATGCTGAGATATTTGCAAAACTCCGGACCGCAGGTGTATACGGTAGGGAACGAACAGGCGCTGTTGTCCTTACCGGGGAGCAGCGCACTTCACCACCACACCATCCGGGTCCTTCGCTTTGCCTGTCTCTCAGCTAGTTCTATCGATCTTTTTGCCATCAGCAATCACCCGTCAACGGGTTTGATCTGGGGAGCCCAAATCGGCATTGAACCCAGTTAAGCTGAGGCTTAGTTATAATCACAATCTTAACCCTTGTATATACTGTCTTTTTGTTCTTAAAGGCAGGGTATGTTGCGAAATATAACTCGTATGTGCTGATGACAAAAAGATCGATAGAACCAGTTGAGAGACAGGACCGCGAAATCGAAGGACCCGAATGGTGTGGTGGTGAAATCCGCTGCTCCCCGGTAAGGACAACAGCGCGTGTTCGTTCCCTACCGCATACACCTGCGGTCCGGTGTTTTGCAAATATCTCAGCATTACATCTGGTAGTAGTATTGACTTTTGAGTTGAATTTCTTTTAAAAATTGCATTACTATAGAGAATTATCTATCTACCTAACAAACACATTCGATAAGTCGATATAGACTGTGTTTACCACTCCATGGCTAAAAACTCTCAAACACCACCGCCTAGAAGTGTTTTTCAGCAATACGCTACCGCAGGAACACCCGGAGGGAACAACATGTTCGGAGGTGGGATGCAGATGCGAGTTGATTCTCGAACAGTTTATGCGGCCCCTCCCAGAGATGATACACCATTGCAGGACGGAACACCATTGAGCTCGACGAAGTTGTACATACGTGGCCTCAGTCCGAGTGCAACCGAAGGAGATCTCAGAAAAATGTGTGCTCACTATGGAACAATCACTTCTATAAAGCCCATAATGGTCAAGGGTCTGAATCAGTGTAAAGGTTACGGTTTTGTGGACTTTGAAAGTCAGGAAGCAGCTTTGCGAGCAGTGGAAATGCTCACCAGGAGTGGGATTGAAGCTCAGATGGCCAAACAACAAGATCAGGATCCTACGAACCTCTACATTGCTAATCTGCTGTCGAATTTCAACGATCAAATGTTGGAGAGTGCACTGTGCCCTATGGGATGGTAATACCGACCATAATACTTCGGAATGCTGACGGTAACTCGCGTGGTGTTGGCTTTGCAAAAATAGACTCCAAGGAGAAATGCGAGGAGATCATCACTGCTTTAAACGGCAAACTGATCGAGGGAATGGATCCAAATGCGGCACCATTGCTTGTGAAACAAACTGATACTGGGGGGAAAATGATGATGAAATGGCAACGGCGATCTCCAAACGTCTTCAGAAGCCTAATGACGGTACTAGTGGGCGTGACTACGTCCAAGTGGGTGGCGTAGGTCGTAGGGTCAAGACTCGGGTCGCAAGGTCTAGTTCCCAACCAATGAGACCTGATGGCTACGAGGTGCTGTGTCTAGTGGATGGCTTGAATGGGATGTGGATGTGGGGTACGCACGCGGATGTTGTGGCAAATGCAGTCTCTATCGACTTATAGAATGTGTTTGCTATGTAGATAGAGAATTCTCTATCTGATCGAGGAATTCTCTAGAATTACTACCTTTATAGTGCCTATAAGCTATCTTCTTTGTCTCGTCTGTTCTGTTCTATAGTACTAAAAATAATACTGTCTGTATCGAGATAATTTACTTGACGAGCAGAAATATGAGTAATGATTAAGGATCCGTTATGTGCCGACGCCCAAAGACCAGCAAGATTTCATTGGGTCTAAATCGCGAAGGACAACTGCGTGTTATGAAGATGTCGCGGTCTCAAGGGACTGACTACCAGATGCATATTTATGCTGCCACATTGCCCAGGTTACCACGCCTAAAGAAAAGAGTAAGGATTCTTCCCCATCTCGTTGCTTCCATATATTTTCAGTTATAGTTATTTGAAATATATATTTCAGTTATTCAGTTATTTTCAGTTACTGTAATGCACAGCATAATTAGAGTATTTCAGGTTATCTACTTGACAAAAGCTGGTATACAGATCGGTCATTCTATGATTGTGTACTGGTATACGGAGGAAGGAGCTTTGCCGACACAGGTATAACCGTTTTCATATTTCCTTTATCTATTTTGGTAAGAAGAAAGCTATTCTAATGCCATCTGTTTTGTAATACTTCCCAGCAGTTTTCTAAGTCAAATTACCAGATTACTGAGTGGTTGTTTAGTCCTTTGGTTTGCTTGTTTGTATCAAGTACTCCTTAATAATTTAGTAGGCAGTAAATAATAAGCCAAAATTGTGTTAATATGTTTCCTACTGCCACGTGTCTCAGTCGTTAATACCGTCTGTATCAGGTACCCCATGGAAATAATATCACATCTGAAGCCTTGTACACACGGCTTCCACCGTCAGTTCGTGATGAAGCCCGACGTCTACTGGCCACTCATTCGCCTTCTGAAGTTGCTGAAATGTTGTCGAACAAAATGAATTATGCGGTGGCTCCACGATCGGTTTGTAAAGTTGAATTCTCCGTTAGATGCTTTTTTGGCATTCACTAATTTTAAATTCTTTTACTACTCTCGCCATTAACTTTAGGAAATGTTTGGGTTAGGATGGTTTTAGTTTGTTTTGGATGTAAGGACATATTTTTAAAAGCTGTTTGGTTGGTACAGATGTGTGATATGCCGACCATCTGGAAAATAGATGAATTAGCTTGAACAGGTTAACGCATTATATTCTGTAGTCATGGAAAATATTAATTATTAACGAAACTCCATTCTTACTAAACTGTTTCATCAGGTATATCCTAATTGGAACAAAACTTTCCTATAACTTCACTAGTGTGCAATTCATCAAATGTTCTATGTATTCCTCGCATTTTGTTCGTAGACATTCTGTCGATCGCTGACAGTTTTATATATTTGGATATGTTTGGTTGGTTTTTTAAAATATTTGAGGATGTAAGCTATTTCTGAGCACTTCTAGTTGTACAACATTCGTCGAGAACTACGGCGTGAGCATCCGAGATATGTAGATATCAAGTTGGAAAGCTCAGGGTGAGCGTTTAAACTTCCGTTGATGAGACTGATAATGAAAATTATTAGTGTTTATTCTAGTATGGAAGAGCTGGATTATGTCCCAGATTGGCTGCAAGCAGATATTGCGCAGGCGAAAAAACAAGGAGAAATGGTAGGTGAAATGATAACCAGCTATTTTTCCCAATGACGAAATTATGCGGATTTTCAAACCACGTTCGCGATGACGAGCATTGATTTCGTTCACATTTTAAATGAAATACACTACGATCTGCAGATCTTTGCTGACAAGACTCAAGCATTTTTTCAAATTTATTTCTCTCGATAATGTTTTCATAAGGGCTCATACTGAGCTGTCAAGAGATTGAACAAGTGATATTTTGTCCAGGAGTACACGATATGCTATGCAAATTGGTCGCTAATATTTGCATTAATTCGTGTTATTTTTTTGAAGTTTTAATTCCAAACAAATCTAGAATTAATATCTTTGTCATATCGTCATAGGTAGGACTGTAGAACAACCTCAGCTCTATATGTTTTTCAAGTCCTTAACTCATAAAGTGTTTTAATTATCGAGAGATATATTTAGCTCACGAAAACTAGGCGTGACTTCAGGTGTTTTAAAATGATGTTCTTTCGAATTACTAGTTTTAGAAGCATTACTGTACAATTTCAGTTAGCAAATCTTGGCGTTTTTAATCATTTCTTAATAGGGTACAACACATAGCACAGAGGGAATAGTTGATGGTGGTGCTATCGATGTGTCACATACAGAAGAAGTGGTACAAGCTGTTGGATCGCCTCTGCGAAAGGTTGCTGCTACCTTCAGTACCATTTTTCTTTGTCTGGATAGTTGTTAGATTTCTAGTGATAATGAAATAGAATAACCTTGTTTCCTTTATTTTCCAAAAGACTCGCTATCAAGTGTCAAACTGAAATATTGCTGATGGCACTGGTAGATCAAAAACTAGCTGAAAGAAAGGCGAAACGAAGGGCCCTCATGGTGTGGTGTTGAACGCGTTAACCCCCGGAAAGGGTAATATAATGTTCGATCCCCACCACAGACACCTGCGGTTCGGAGTTTTGCAAATATCTCAGCACCATTATCGTTGTATCACGCATAATACCATGCCGTAAAAAATTGTAATAGACAGTAAATAAAAAGATAACATGATTTCAAACTGAAATAGCTGTTTCAGTTTCAGTCTGGTCGTCCATTTGGAAATGTAGTGATTGGTGGTGACCATTCTGCTCGCGAAGATGCTGTTTGGAGATTTGCGAAGGATGCATTCAACACAAGCAGTAATGATGTTGTTTTCGATGCACTGTGGAGAATATTACTTGAGAAAAATGAGCCCCGTTTGTTACAGAATATTAAGTCGGTCAGCGCTACTTGCTTTATGGATATTATAGTGTAATACATACTAAAAGATGAAGTTGAACGTTCCTGTTTGCAGGATTTCGGAATAGAAATCGTAGCTGATCACCATCCTCTAATGGTTGAAGGCGAATCAATTGAAGCTATGGTGGTGACGGAAGAAGGTCTTGTACCTGCGGAAATAGTTGACGAAAGAATGATTCCGGAAGGAGCGACGATAGAGAATGTTGAGATCGTTGAAGAAAGCGTGGTAATAGATGAACACACTTCGTCTGGTGAAGAGGTAGAAACAGAGACAGCAGAAAAAGTGGTGCAACCACGAGAAGCACACGAATCAATTCATATAGGCGAAGATGTTGATATTCAATCTGTGGAAACAGTAGAGACGCAACGGTAGTGATTCATCTCATTGTTATTTGCATAAGCAAAGTTGTTCTAGCATGTTCTCTGTCAAATAATTTTACTGGACGTCCATTATAATGATATATATGTATATATATACATATATATATATATATGTATAGCCTTTAACAAACTCGTTTTCGAGTTCGCATTAATGCGTTAGCTGACACAGTCTTCCACGTTCGTTAACATATCGTGTTGGAAGCTTGTTTTTCTTTAAGGTATGCCCATTAAAGGTTCAGAACGGTCTCATTAAGATGATCGGACGACTTGTGGTCCATGTTGCCTTAGCAGGCAATTTAAAATCACTTGCATTTCCTGTAAATCGATGTAAGTGATGGGAATGTTCAAGAATCGGTTTTTCTTTAAAGTTCGACAGTTGCAAATCTCAGATTGTTTCCAAAGCATGCGTTGCTGCTATGATCTCAACATAAAGTGTGTACTATCAACAGTTTATTTTTGCTATTGGTAATAAATGTTACACGTGTATACTGCCTTGTAAGCTTACTTAAGCATCTTCGGTATTCCTAGAACTATAGTGCTCATGGTCCATTTGTTGTAGTATTCTTTTGTATCCCAATCCCAAGGGCGCATGTGGCGCTGTGGTCGGGGGTGCCCTTTGACACAAACGTGGGGCCGATCTCTGCGCCCATGGCTCGCCAAGCCTTCCATCCCTCCTGGGTCGGCGAATTGGTACCAGACTTATCTGGGAGGGTAGCAGCATTGGCTCGGTACATCGGTAGGCCTGCTCGAGTCATTATAAAGGCCAGATATGGATTCAATCACCTCCAAAGGCGCTTAATGAAGAATGCATGGCGTATCACTCAGGGGTGGATCAACGCCAAGAGGGTTTAGCGTTACCCATTCCGTCAATACAGATTTTAACCGTTTAATTATTTGACGATGACACGAATCTCATGAGATAGCGGATTCCTACTAAATTGTGGGGAATGGTTTAACTTTGGCGAGTATTCTGGAGGATTCCTGCTTGCCCGTCCATTCGAACTTTGTGGATTTTCCAACTCCTATGGAATTTTTAGTTGTTCTTTCCATCCCGGTTATTCTGATCAATTATGGGTAATCGTTTGAATGGACGATTCTGGACAGAGATTCTATGTTACGAGACGAAGCACTGAACACATTGAGCACCTTTTGTGAATGTAATTTTTGTCCCTATTAATACTTAGAAAAGCCATGAATTTACTTAACGAACACGGAGAACCGACAAAGAGGAAAGACGTAGTCCAACATGTATGGATACTTGGGACCGCGAGCATCGTATAAGTTGGTGTAAGAACGGTGATCGATCTTGACCAGTAACGAAGATGTTTAGCAAGCTAAAATCTGGATCAGACACAAACTTGTTTGAGGCAATACACATTGGTTTCAATGCTTTTGATGTGAAAGTAATGGTGGCCGGTTGAAATAACCAGCTCTGGCTCGTCTTTAGTTTTGTTCATTCCTAAAAAACCTGTAGAATCCATAATTTTTTTCCACGCCCGACTTTCTATTAACCTCGGCATTCATCAAGTAATTCTTCGTATTTTTGTTGAGCAAACGTGAGGCGTTATTATTCTTTATTCACGAATAATCTGACGTTTCGGAGGATTTCGCCTTTCTCATAGCCTTGCCCACTATTCTCCTCCAGAGGCGGTCCTCCAAATACTGAGCACAAAAGTTTTCCTTCGTCTCGCACTTCTTCCACTTGGCGAACATCTGGTTTTGTCGGTTTCGTAGACAGGTGCGTAGTATTCGCAATTCGATGTCCAATACTCGGTGACTGTCTTCTGGTGGTCCGCATACGTCGTGTAGTCGTCTTCGTTTGATGAAGTTTGGAATTTTTCCCTATAAATTTTTGCCCACAAAATACAAGCTCTTCTGGAGCCGGCGAGATGAATTTTCTTCGTCCTTGTGCCTGAACGCTTGTATTTCGATCACGAAAACAACTGAACAAGTGAGATTTGGTCTACCAGGATACGGTGGTGCCCTCCGGTGTCGTAGATGTTTTCGGCTATCGCGCCATTGTTGGCTTAAATTTTGGAAATTTTATAAAATTCAGACTTCGTCCTCAGGTTTTTTGGGATCATACTAAGCAAATTTAAAATTGGAAGCATATTCTTAAAAGGTTTAATGTATCTTTAAGACGATACACGTACAACTTCCGTTGATTAACCCATACTCTACTGGCGCTGATTTCACGGAGGCTGAAGAAAAAGGGCAAACATGTCCGCGACGTAAACACTATCTTTTCGATAACTGGAAGAATTGTGGGTTTCAGGGTATCGTGTACTTATAGAAGAGGCCTTACTGTATCCATACATAAGTATGATATTGTTAGTACACAGCATCATTGTGATTGTTACTATATTCTACACTTCATTATGTTTCACGTACCAAACTCGTTGCTGTGAGCGTATGGAAGACCATCCCACGCCGCAGTCATAACCCACGTTGGCAATTTCAAATGAAAAAAGTCAATAAATTGCTAGTTACAAATGGAACACACTATACTCTACAGAAGTGACGATGTCGATTTTTTGATAACCACCGCTGTTTTTCACTATCCAGGGACTTATAAAGTTGGTCAATTGAACACACCTATGGAAGGGGTTTTCTCAAGGGTATAGTCTTCGTTTTAGCTTTGTTTAGAATAAGATTTAAAAAGAAATCAAATTTCCGCTGTGAGGTGGGACATGAGAAATTGTATGTTGTTGGCGAAGTTCTCTACATTCCAATAGCCTTCAATCCAGTTGGCTAAGCTCATGATTGATGGAGATATATCTTTTGAAAGGTGTAACTGCTTTTAGGAACGTTTGAGTGATCTTTGAATAACTTTCGTTAATTTCTTCTTTTTGTCTTCTGTCGCTCTTTCTCACCTACCACTATCGTGATTCCATCGACTTCAGTCCTTGTAGTCAATTTCGTTGTTCATCGTTTCGGATTAATTCTCTTGGTCAAGAACTATTGAATATTGTCGCTTTAAGCTCCTCCTATCCATTCGGGTTTGGGAAATTGACACCAGGCCTGGCTGGCACTCTCTTACGGATCACTTTACCTAGGCATTGAAAGTCGCCATTACAACTGATAGCAGTCTGATAGCTGCAGAACGAATTACCGCTATCACCTCTATCAACTGTTGTCCCTTTGATCATCAAGTGACTGGAGCGGACGCCACTAAATATTCCATTTTTCCCTGTCGCGTGCAAGAGTAGCTCAGTGGGTTCTGCTCGCTCTAGAGACTCGTCGAGCATCATATCTTTCTTCTAGGTTTTCGTGAAGAACTCCGAGCGTCGGTTCGATGGTTTTCCTGCAATACTTTTGACATCCCGACGAATCCAGTCACTAATGGCTCCTGTCCATCGGTTGTCGTTCATAGGCATTACGTTTCCGGCCCACCTTATCTTCGACGGTTTGGCGTAAAGAACGATGCCATTGTTTTTTGATCGTTGGCATAAGTCGAAGCTTCGGAATCCTTCATTCACCTGCGCGAAGTGTTCTATAGTGCTGAGTGATTCTAGGCACAGAGTCGGGGTTCCTTTGTTCTCTTTGACTACATCCTCTGTGCTCTTGAAGGTGGCCCAGTCGCTGGATTCCTCCTGCTCAGCTCTGGAGTTATGTCGTTCATCGCGTTGATTTCCTGGCCTAGATAGACGTAACTGGAGCGCTCAGAGATATGCGAGCCGTCAAGTGTGAATGGGGCGTACGAAACCGATCCGTTCCTCATGAACGACGTTTCTCTGAGATTTAGTTTAAAACCAATCTTTCCACAAGCTTTGTCAGAGTAGGCTACCATTCGTTTCGCACGGCTAATGCTTGATGTTATGAGAACGATGTCATCAGTGGAGGTTCAATTGTCGACCACTGATTTTCGTCCCATGCTGTTACATTCCAATTTTCACATGGCGTTCTCGAGGGTGGAGGTAGATATTTTTGGTGAGATCGTATCACCTTCCTAACCACTTTTGACGTCGATGTTAATATCGTAGTAGAGTATCTTCGTTGTGACATTTTTGTACAGTCCTGGCTGTCCAGGGCTTTCATGATTGATTCTATCTCAACCGAGTCACATGCTTTCCTTAAATTGATGAAAATGAGACAGAGGGGTCTCTTGTACTCTCGTTACACTTCCACGCTTCGAGGAGGTCGTCCGTCTTACTTCCATTTTGTTTCACCCTTTTCGAAACCCTGCTTATTCACATGGCTGTCCATTCAGTGTTTTCTCAATCTTGTTTAGGGCTGCTCGAGTGAACAGCTCATGGACGATGGACAACAAACGGATTATGAGAGAGTTGCCCATATCGTTGCATTCTTCCTTCTTGAACAATAATACATTCTTGCTGGTCTTCCACTGAATAGAAACGTTTCATTCTGATGGGCAACGCGTGCAGTAGGGTCAGTTTTTTGGTGACGGTTGGCAGAATGTTCTTCAGGTGTTCAGATCTTATCCTGTTCAGGTCTTATTCTGTCCGGAGCTGCTTTTGCTTGATTCTTCGGCTGCGGAATAACATGTCGAATTTCGGAGGGGAGAACTGGTGGGACGACATATCTATCTTTCTTTATTTTATATGAGAGCGGGAGGACGTGGCTACTGAAGAGATCTGGATAGTGTATTCGTGAATGATTTTCTCCATTGCCTTTCTACACGCTGTAACTGTTCCATCTGGGTGTCGGAGTGCAATCGTCTTGGTTGTAATTGACGAAGTTTTGGTGGGTTTTGCGAATGCCTTTCCCAGTCTCCGCAGCGCTTCGATCACAACTGCTGCTGTTCTCTCTTTAAGATTTTCTTTTATTGCCTGTCTGCATTGTTTTGCAAGTTCGGACGTGAGTTGGCGGTTGCCCGTAATTCATGCGATTCCGAGCTGGCGTATCAGCTCGAGTCTTTCTAGAGACAGATGTCTCTTGATGACGTTCGAATTGTCAACTTTCTAGAGGCGATTGCTGTCTACCTCCCATGTACTTCGCAGTCACTTTATTGCAAGCTTCTGCACGAAATAACTTGTAGTGTAAAGCCTAAACATCAACAACGCACCCTGCCTTAACTTATCTACATAAACACAGGTGGGCACGCTTTAAATTGGCCCAATAGAAACAGGCAGTCTGTCCTTTGGTTCCATCTACTTTGGTCTTAGAAGAGCGTAAGGTCGCCTTTAAGCCGTGTTTAACCACTTATCGCCCATTTGTGGATGCCATGCTTGAAAGATCGACCTCATCGGTTTAGAATTGTAACAAACCCTGGAAATGGTGGGGAACGAACGCGCTATTGTCCTTTCCGGAGAGTAACTCGTTCACCATCACACCATGCGGGTCCTTCGTTTCGTCTGTCTCTCAGCTAGTTCTATCGATCTTTTGCCGTCAGCAATAACCCGTCATCGGGATTGATCTGGGGAGCCCAAATCGGCAACGAACCCTGAAAAAAACCTTAAACTGAGGCTGCAGTTATAATCACAGTTTTAACTAATTGTTTACTGTCTACTCTTCTTTAACGGAGTTCTGCAAATATCTCAGCATCACTGAAGTTATATTTCTCAATATACCTTGCCGTCAAAAAAAGAGTAGGCAGTAAGTGATAAGTTAACACCTGGGAATGGTCTCAATCGTTATGCAATATTTATTGGAATGCGACATTTCCACTTCCGATCGATTTAATGGAAGAGCGTTATGGAATGTCAATACCGCTTCATGTACGTCATATTATGAAAAGCGACATTTTTGCTAATCACCTCGCCATATTTGGTACCTGTTGCCAAAAGGCGGCTCAGATGTTTACACTCTAGTCCTCACTTTTGCACGTAGGTCCTGAGCGGAATCACGAACGATGAGTGTTCGCGTGAGAAGTGATGAGAAGTGACCAAATCGGAAAAAAATCAGAGTTGACGAATAAATAGGGGTGCTGGAGATGGAACGTTCCAAGTAGTGCAATTCGATTCCAAAATCCTCCAATTACTAAACAGCTGTTACCATCACGAAGAATAAAAGAACACTGTACGTAACATGGACACTTTATGTGGAATACATAGGGATAGGTTATCAAAGAAAACATGACTGAAGACTCCGCACTGTTTACGAGAGCACCTCATCACTTCTCCAATTACGTCTCGATTTTCCATCGATAGACTCGAACAGAACCTCCAATAACACTGATGCAGTAGATAAGAATGCTTAACCACTGCTGTTGAAGATAGAAAATTCTAAACAAATCCCATGAACACTACGTACTGCGGTAACTGCCACGACCGACTTTCTATTAACCTCGGCATTGATCAAGTAATTTTCTTCGTATTTTTGTTGAGCAAGGAAATCATTTGTGCTCAATATTTGGAGGACCGCCTCTGGAGGAGAATAGTGGGCGGGTCAGTGTTGATTTGCAACTCTATTAGGTCTAATGCTAAAGTAGCTTTGCAAAGAAAATTCGAAGACCTTTTGAGTAAATCACATAATACAGCTTCAATAGCGCACAAAAATATCGCTAAAGAACATCAAACAGATCACATTAGGATAGGTAATGTGCAAGAAAATTCAAGGCTAACCGTGTTAGGAGGCATAACTCTCCCTGACGGTGCGCGCTCATTATTAGAATTGGGGCCGAGTTTCTCACCATCCGAACCCATTTCTAAGATAACCTTGCGTAGGGTCGCATGTGGTTTACATGAACTTCAAGATAGACTCCGCAAAAAAGCTAGAGATGAAGCGCTAAATAGGTGCGAACAACATCAAGTGGGGCCCTACCAAGAGCACCATTTCCCCCGACGTTCTTTAGACAACAGGAGCCCAATAATGAAGTTGATGTTAAATTTCGGATGT